TCGAAGGAGGGCCAGAAGACGCAGGTCAAGAACGTCCGTCGGTTCTTCAACGCGCATGACGACGGACTCCCCTTGGGCGAAGTCTTATGGCATTGACTGGCACCTCGTATTCTCTGGTGGCCAGCAGATCTTTTATCAGCGGCATTGGGATGTCTCGCCATGATCTTGTCTCGTTCAGTGCAGATGGTTCTTGCTTTGATGCAGTGGGTGGCTTCTTCTTACGTGGTGGTATGGGCTGGATATCAGATGTGGCTTCGCCGTGTTCTGAGTTCGGTCGGTTTCTGTGCTCGGCTCGCCGCGCGCGCTCGTCGGTGCGCATTTGGCTCATCGGACCGTCGAGGTACGGTAATGGTGGATGGACATCTGAGGGGCGCGGTCGACCTCGACCGCACCTCCATGAAGGATCAAGGATCAAGCAAGAGGAGGAGGAGGAGGAGGAGGAGGAGGAGAAGGGTCATGAGCAGGAGCAGGAGCAGGCCTCGGGGAGTGCACCGGCTGTCTCGGCCGCGGGGGCCTCATCCTGATGTGCCATGTGAGGCTCGGGAACGCCAGGCTCTCGGGGCGGCTGAATGCCGCAGCGCAAGTCGAGACTCGACCTCCCGCCCCCGTTTCCCAGCTCCTCCTCCGACATCCTGGCGACGGAAGGTTTTTCCCGTATCCTAAGAGCGGGTTCTTGTTATTACTGGGACGCCTGTGCCTCGCGCGCCTCGCTCTATCGTTCACGCCCGCCTCTCTCTCGCGCACTCATGCTGAGACTCATCGTACTCATACTCGGACCCACTCATAGTTTTCATACCCGCTCGCGTACATACTCACTCGCACTCACATCATGCATAATCACTCGTATTCAGACCTACCCAACCCATACCCAGACTCACTCACATTACGACGCGCTCACACGCAAATCGTTCACACACATACCCATTCTCTCTCCGACTCACTCGTACTCAGATTCGCAGGTTGTGAGGATGTCTCAGGCGGGGCAGTAGCTTCAGCACCCCACGGGGAGCCGCCAGCGGTGGCTGCACGTGCCCATTCGCGCCCACATGATGGGGATGTCTCGGGCGTTTTTTTGGGGGGGGGTCTCGCAGGCTCTTTCGCTGTCGGAACATATGTTTAGGACGTCTCAGGCGAAGCGTTGGTTTCAGCATCCCATGGACCCCAAGGAATAACCGCCAATAATGGTTGCACGGGCCCGTTCGTGCCCAGGTTGCGGGGATGTGCCAAGCGGTTTGCCTGTTTCGTCCCCCCAGGCTCCTCTGTTTTCAGAGCAGATCGCGAGGACGTCTAAAGTCATCACCCCAACGGGAACCGCCAGCGGTGGTTGCACGTGCCCATTCGCGCCCAGATTATGCGGATGTCTCGGGTGGTTTGCCTGTTTTGGCTCACGGGCTCCTTCGCGTTCAGGGCAAATCTTGCGGATGTCTCAGGCGGGGCGCTGGTTTCAGCATCCCAAGGGGGAGCCGCCAGGGGTGGTTGTACAGGCCCGTTCGCGCTCAGGTTGCGGGCCTTTTTCGTCCCCCCCAGGCCCTTGTGCTTTCAAAACAAATTGTGTAAGGATGTCTCGGGCGAGGCGCTGGTTTCAGCCGCCAGGGGTGGTTGCACGGGCCCGTCTTGCGCAGTTTGCCCCCCTTTCCCCCCTTGGCTTCTTTGCTGTGCGGGCAGATCGCGAGGATGGCGAGGTTTAAGTCGGGCGCGTCCCTCTAAGGAGGAATATTCAAACAGAGTGCACCAATAGTCAGGGGACGACTGGTTTGAGGTTTGTTTTGACTATTATTGAATATGTTTTGAATATCCGTAAGGGTTTCGCCCCCTGCCGCCGGCCCCCTCTCTCGGAGAATGGGCCATGGAAGAGCTAAGTCATGAGGCTTTGGCGCTGTCGCGCAGCAGTATCGGAACTTCATGCGAGGCCGATTCTCAATCGGCAAAACCAACTGATCACAAGAGGGGTTACCACACAGGGCGATTGGTAAGACGTGTATGGTTTACGAGCTTGGTTACCACACCTTGGGATTAAAGGGCCGAGGGAGTACTCGCAGTTTGGGTCACCACGCCTTGCGATGGATGTCCGTGAGGGGTGGCACCGAATTTCAGAAATGTGGCAAATCCCATGTGTTTTTGGACCCTGACCCCGCGGATCTGCGTGAGGGGTGGCACCGAATTTCAGAAATGTAGCAAATCCCGTGTGTTTTTGGACCCTGACCCCGCGGATCTGCGTGAGGGGTGGCACCGAATTTCAGAAATGTAGCAAATCCCATGTGTTTTTGGACCCTGACCCCGCGGATCTGCGTGAGGGGTGGCACCGAATTTCAGAAATGTGGCAAATCCCATGTGTTTTTTGGACCCTGACCCCGCGGATCTGCGTGAGGGGTGGCACCGAATTTCAGAAATGTGGCAAATCCCATGTGTTTTTGGACCCTGACCCCGCGGATCTGCGTGAGGGGTGGCACCGAATTTCAGAAATGTAGCAAATCCCTTGTGTTTTTGGACCCTGACCCCGCGGATCTGCGTGAGGGGTGGCACTGAATTTCAGAAATGTGGCAAATCCCATGTGTTTTCGGACCCTGACCCCGCGGATCTGCGTGATGGGTGGCACAGAATTTCAGAAATGTGGCAAATCCCCTGTGTTTTTGGACCCTGACCCCGCGGATCTGCGTGAGGGGTGGCACTGAATTTCAGAAATGTAGCAAATCCCATGTGTTTTTGGACCCTGACCCCGCGGATCTGCGTGAGGGGTGGCACCTAATTTCAGAAATGTGGCAAATCCCATGTGTTTTTGGACCCTGACCCCGCGGATCTGCGTGAGGGGTGTCGATTTCGAGCCCCCCCAGCAATTCAGACAACGCGCCCAGGGGGTGCTAAAAAATCCTATTTGGGCCTCCCCCCCCCCTCGCGCGGTCAATCAACTAGTTACAGTAACCAGCAAGAAGCATAACTGTAACACTGGAAACTACAAGCTACAACTGGTACTGGAAACTGCGAACCCGCGCCTACAGCCTGGTGGCCCCACAAGGGGGCCGGCGGATTTTGATTTGTCGTCCAGAATCCCCCTGTAGGAGGACATGCCCGACCTAAGGCAAGACGCTGGCTCCAGCATTCCAGGAGGGATCCCGTTGGCAGTGACTGCACACGGGCCCGTTTGCTCGCCCAGGCTGTGGGGGCTGTTTCGGGTGGTCTTCCTGTTTCGCGCCCCCTCCCCAACATTTTTTTTCAGACCTCCTCCCTCCCTCTCCTCATTCTCCTCCTCCTCCTCCTCCTCCTCCTCCGTGAGGGTGTCTCAGGCGAGGCGCCAGTTCCACAATCCCAAGGGGAAGCCGCCAGCGGCCAGTTCGCGCCCAGATGGTGGGGAGGTCTCAGGCGGTTTGCTGTCTTTGCCCCCGCCCCCCCCATGCTCCTCTGCTTTCAGAGCAGATTGTGAGGAGGCCTCGATCGAGGCGCTGGCTGTAGCATCGCAAGGTGGAGTTGCCATGGGGTATGACACTCACCCGTTGGTGACCATATTGCGGGGATGTCTCGAGCGAAGCACTTGTATTGTACCTCCAACTCCTGTCCATTCAGAGCCCCAGGATCACCTCGATGTAAGTAGAAGCAGGGAGGAGGGAGGGTGGAGGAGGAACGAGGAGGGCGCAGGAGGAGGGACGATGGAGGATTGATGAAGAGAACGGGGCTACGGCGAGTAGGAATAGGAGGGAGAGGGCAGGGTGGCGCAGAGGAGGGTGGCACCTGCGAGGTAGGAGGGAGGAGGGACGGCGGAGGGAAGAGGACATTGAGGAGGAGGGGGGAGGCCGCGCGAGGAGGGAGAAGGACGGCCGCCAGGGAGGAGGGAGAAGGGAGGAGGAAGGAGGAGCACGCAGGACGGGAGAAGGGAGGAGGGAGGACGAGAAGGTGGGGCTACGACGAGTAGGACAAGGAAGGAGAGATGAGGGGGCCGCTGGGGAGGGGGCACTTGCCAGGGAGGAGGAGGGAGGACGGCGGAAGAGAGAGGACAAGAAGGAGGAACGAGGAGGACGCGCGAAGAGGGAGGAAGACGGCCGCCAGGGAGGAGGAGGGAGGACGGAGGAGGAAGGAGAAGGACGCAGGATAAGAGAGAAGGGAGGATGGAGGAAGAGACGGGAGGGGCTACGGCGAGTAGGAAGTGTAAGCTCCCTGGCGGGGCACTTGCCAGCGAGGAGGGAGGACGGCGGATGAGAGGAGGATGAGACATGATCTACTATGACGAGGAAGGCGAGGAAGGAAAAGGGAACGGCCTGCGCACCGCCTGCCTGCCTGTGAGTTGTTGTTGTTGTTGTCGTGGTCGGTGTTGTCCCTCATAGCCGCCGCCGCCGCCGCCGCCGCCGTCGTCGTCGTCGTCGTCGTCGTCGTCGTGCCCGTCGTCCACTCGGAGTCGCTCTTACACCCAAGCGCTCACAGCCAGACACTCACAGCGGGACGTGCCAGGAAGTGAGATGCTCATATGGGGATGTCCGCGTCGAGTACTACCATTTTTTCAGCCTCTGGACGTTCTCACCGGGCCCCAGGACCGTCAACAAACGACTCGCGATGCGAGGGGAGCCCCCAGGAACTTCAGGCCTCGGGGAGCCACTTTCTAAGAAAATTTCACGATCTCGGATGTCGGGTTCTGTTTCCAAGGGTGTCCGCGGTTTGGTCTGTTCGGCTGAGTCCCAGTCGGTTGCGTTCGGCCAGGTCGATTCGGCCGGTGGTTGTGTCGCTGCTGCGTCGCTGGGCCCTTCTGTGCCGCTTGGGGCCTGTCGGTTTCCGTCCGTCTCGGTTTCGCTGTCGATTCAGTTGGATCTCGGTTGTATGCTGTCGCCGTGGTAATGGACGCCTGTGGTCCCCTCCTCCTTCTCCTCCTCCACCACTGCGATGTCCCAAGAACTCGACGTCGTGGTTTTTTTTCCAACGTGGACCCCCAGAGGGCGAGACTAGTCAGAAGCCGCCTGCCGGGACTTCCTTACATCGAGCGGAGGTGGTGGTCTGGCCGCCCCCAGGCCCGAGAGGGCCGCGAACGCGAGCCTCTCCGGGTACAACCGCAACAGCCTGTGGGCGTGCCTGACCTTCCAGACGGGCGCGTACGACTCGGTGGTGGGCGTTGAGGCCCGCGGGGCGCGCGCGCGGGGGAGGGAGCACGCGCGCGCTCGGGCTGTGCCGACGCGGCTGCGGCCCCAGCTCGGGGAAACGTAAGACCCGAGTGAGCCGAAACCCTGGTCTACCGTCGTTTTTTGGCGAGCGCGTCCTGGATTTTGACGGTCCAGTCTGCGTGGGATGTTTGCAGCGGGAGCTCGCGTCAAATTTCAGATTGGGCCTCGTCATTTTTTTAAAGGCCCCGTCAGGTCAACCCGAGTCCCCCGTACCCGAGTCTTTGCGTCTCCCCGACCAGCGCGGGCGTGCAGGGTGGAGCGCCGCAGGTTGCCCGGGGTCGGCCAGAACGAAGCGATCTGGTGATCGGAAGGGCGCCGAGTTGCTGTTGCCGCCACTGGCAGGGGAGGACGATTTGCTCGGGGACGATCTTTCCGTTTTTTTTTGGCTATTGGTTTATTATTTCATTGAACGCCCCTGAGGGGGCAGACACCGCCGCCCCACTTTTTTTTTTGGAACGCGGAGGTTGCGTGGGGGGCAAATCGGGATGTAGCGGGGGTGTTCACTCAGCTTTGGCTGGGTTTTTGTTAAGTGGGGTCTTAGACAGCCCCAAGAGAGCCGGAACATGACCTAAGAAAGACGCCAGATTGGACAATAAGGTCTCAGAGGGCCTGGACAAATACGAAAGTTTGATCTTAAAGGCTTTCAGAAAGCCCCAAGAGAGCTGGATCATGACTTAAAAAGACGCCAGAAAGCCGTAAGAGAGTCTGAAAATGATTAAAAAAAGGACACCTGAAGGTGTTCAAGAGTGTGGACGAAAGGAAGAGGCATACGGAGAGGCGTACAAACGAGATCCGAGTTAGTTTGGGGGCCTCAAAAGGGAGTCCGGGGACCCCCTGGGCGTGCCCAGGACGGCCCAAGAAAACCCCCCAAATGCTGCCAGACGACCCAGGCCGGGGTCGGGAGGCGTGGAGGACAGCCGCAGAGAGCGCCCGCTGATTCCAACGTGCTTCCAAGAGCCCGCGAAAACGCACGTGAGCTCGAAACGAGGCATGAATAGAGGCTCGACAAGGCCAGAATGGACATATTCATATGTGTTTTAGTAGGTTTTTTGCGTGTTGTTTTTTTGTAGTCGAAGTGGGTCGAGGAGAGGTGGGCGGGTTGCCAGACTGGACCAAAATGGCCTGGAGGACGGCCAAGATCGCCCCAGGAGAGCGCCTGGAGGCTTCCAAATTCGAGTCAGTGAGCTCCCGGAGAGGCCACTGAGAGAGGCCGGGCGGCCGGCGGCGCCTTGAAGACGAACATTTCCAACGAGGTGTGTTCTGAAGCGAAAATGATGGCCAAAGAGCGCTCATTCCGCAGCTGTGGGCCCCGGGCCGGCGGATGGAGCAGGCCGCGGGGAGGGCCCCAGGAGGGGTTGCAAGGGCTCTGCGGAATGGGTATTGGTACGAGGTGTTCGTGCGCGCAGATTGAGGGAATTGAGTTCGTGCAGACCATGCGGCGGGGATCTCGCGCGCCGTTTCCGGTGGGGCGGCGGATCGCTTCGCTCATTTCCCCGGCCCTGGTGCGCTATTTGGGGCTTCTTGGGGGCTTATTGGGGGCTTCTTGGGGGCGTTTTGGGGCTCCCTGGCGGCGCAGTGGGCTCCCCTGGGGCCTCCTGGGGGGCTCTTGGGGGCCCCATTGGAGCGGGGAGGGGGGGTAGTCGATTGCAGCCCCCCCCCCCCCTCAGGGGCCACGATCCTTGTGAGGGGTGGCGAAAAAGAGCCTCCCCCCTGGGGATCGCCCGGGACCAAGCCGGGGATCGGCATGGGTATTTTCCGCCCTGGGCCCCCGAGGGGCCGCCCCGCGCGCGCGCGAACTAGAAATATTGTCAAGTAGATGCCAGAGACCTTGGCACGCCACTGGCCCGTTGGGCCGGCGAATTTGATTATTTCAAACTGTTCGTTCAAAATCCGCCTGTAGGAAGAAATGCCCGACCAGAGGGCGCCGACGGTTCAATGCTGTACGGTCCACGCAAGGCCGGGAGGCACCGCCAGAGCCGTCGCGTCACGGACCTGCCGTAGAGGAGGGGAGGGGCGGGGGGCCGCGGCGAGGGGGGGGGGAGGGTGACGAGCGGCACAGTGAGGAGGACCAGTGACAATATTAGGATGATGAGGAGGAGTACCAGCAGGATCATGCAGAAGGAAGAGCGGGATCATGAGCGGCGGGAAGAGGGGGATGAGGAAAAGGAGGAGCAGGATGGGGAGCAGGAGGAGGTGGGCTTGAGGAAGACTTGAAGTAATATTGCTTGGGGCGCCTTAGCCCCGTTGCGGGCCCAGTTTTGTGGAATCACCACCCTGTAGGGCACGGTGGCCCGATGGTGCGAATGTCCTGGGGCTGTGGTCCAGACCACGCAGAACGAAGAAGGTTCCAAGAGGGCCCCCTAGGGCGGTCCCAGGAATACCCACAAGGAAGTCAACATCGTACGTCGGTTCTTCTGTTGGAACCTGCCAGGGCTGCAGGAAGTCTTCCACAGGGTTCCAAGAAACCTCAAGTCGATCACAAAATGGCCCATACGGCAGATCTACAGCGCAAGTCAGATGTTCATCGTTGGGAAAATGCCATTCCTTGGTAGTCAGGACCGTTCAATCCAGGGGATGTGCTCCCCTGGTTTTTGTGAAGTGCGATTGGTGCAGCTAGACCTTGGTGCACAGCGAGCCCACCAGGGGATTCTTTGATCCAGTATGGGCGTGATTCGCGCGCCCGAATCCCACAGTTGCGGCAAGGTAGAACAGAAAGTGCGAGTTACAGCTGAGAGCTATACAGTTTTGTTGTTATACCCAAGGCAGGGACTTGTGGGTAGGCTCTCTCACCGGCCATGAGGCCGGGACAGATTTACCGAGGGAAGTGGAAAGGTCATGCATTGAGCGACGAAAGCGGTGCGGAATTCGGTGCCGCGCCAACCTTCCGCGGATGGGCTGGCATGCATCCCCCAGAATACACGTGCATGGGCTTGCGCAGAGAGATAACGAATGGGCAGGCACGCCCGAACGCAGTCTTGCGAATGAGGCCAACATTCCGCTTTCTGGCGGCCATCGAGGGTCCGTGAAGGACGGAGTATGGCAATGTTGCGCCCCCACCAGGAAATGTGTCAATTCGCCCCCCAGGATGGAGGAGGCAGAAGAGGGGGACGAGGAGAAGGTGGAGATGCTGATTGTGATGATGATGATGCTGATGATGATGATGGTGCTGATGCTGCTGATGATGATGATGATTATGATACTGATGATGTTGATGATGCTGTTGCTGATGATGATGCTGGTGCTGATGCTGATGCTGATGACGATTATGATGATGCTGCTGATGATGATGCTGATTATGATGCGGCTTATGCTGATTATGTTGATGGTGCTGATGATGATGATGATGATCCTGATGATGATCATGATGATGCTGATGATGCTGATTATGATGATGATGATGATGATGATGATGATGATGATGATTCTGATGATGATTCTGATGATGATAATGATGATGATGATGATGATGATGATGATGATGATGATGATGTTGACGCTGTTGATGATGATGAAAGGACGATGCCGATTCTGACGATGATGCTGCTGCTGATGATGATGATGCTGATGCTGACGCTGATGATGATGTTGATGATTATTATAACGAGGATAATGCTGCAGCCTGATGATGATGATGAGGAGGAGGATTCTGCTGATGATGATTGATAATAAGGAGGTGGAAGACGAGGTGGAGGACGAGGAGGAGAAGGTAGACGAGACGGCACGGGAGGCAGACGTTGGAGGAGGAACGGGCAGGAGGAAGAGGCATGAGGGGGAGAAGGAGGAGGAGGACAACGACGAGAAGGTGGATGATGATGAGGATGATGATGATGATGATGATGATGATGATGATGATGATGATGGTGATGATGATGATGATGATGATGATGATGATGCTGATGATGATGATGATGATGATGATGATGGTGGTGGTGGTGGTGGTGGTAATGGTGATGATGATGGTGGCGGTGGTGATGATGCTGATGATGATGATGCTGATGATGCTGCTGCTGATGATGCTGATGATGACGATGATGAGGATGATGCTGATGATGATACTGCGACGATGGTGATGATGCTGATGATGATGCTGATAATATGGATGATGACGTTGATTATGTTGACGATGCTGATGAGGCTGACGATGATGGTGCTGCTGCTGATGATGATGATGGCAATGCTGCTGATGATGATGATGATGATGATGATCCTGATGCTGATGGCGAGGTTTTTTTAGATGATGTTGATGATGGTGCTGCTGCTGCTGATGATGATGAGATTTCTGATGATGATGGTGCTGCTGATGCTGAAGATGATGATGATGCTGCTGATGATGATGCTGCCGCGGATGACGATGCTGCTGATGATGATGCTGCTGATGATGGTGATGATGATGATGTTGTTGATGATGATACTACTGCTGATGATGATGTTGATGAGGAGGAGGAGGATGCACAGGACAGACATGGGAGGAGGACAGGACAGAGGACGGAGGCATGATGATGAGGAGGAGGAGGAGGAGGAGGAGTAGGAGAAGGAGGACGACGACGCCGGTGACGACGACGAATACGATGTGATGATGCTGATGTTGATGATGATGCTGATGCTGATGATACTGATGATGATGCTGATGATGATGATGATCATGATGATGATGATGATGCTGATGATGATAATGATGATGATGATGATGATAATGATGATGGTGATGATGATGATGATGATGATGAGATGATGATGAGGATGAGGATGAGGATGAGGATGACGTTTATGATGATTGTTGCTGGGGAGGAGGAAGAAGTGAAGGAGGAGAAGGTAGAGGAGACGGGACGGGAGGCAGACGTTGGAGGAGGAGCGGGCAGGAAAGGGAGGCATGCGGAGGGGGAGGAGGAGGGGGAGGAGGACGACGACGACGAGAAGGAGGAGGATGATAATGATGCTGGTGGTCATGATGCTGAT